AGCATGAGCAGAGGAGTTTGAAGCTGAGAGAGACTGACAAGACGGAGCCAAAGAGCCAGGGGGTCCAGGAGGACACAACTTCAAGGAAGCCGAAGGAGGAGACACACGCAGAGGAGGAGGGACTTGTCTACTGCTGGGTGCATGCGCTGTGCAGAGCCATCAGATGTGTTGTTCGGGAGCATGCTAAGTGAACCCAGACACCATCATCCCTTCCAGCCTGGACAAGTTCCAACATCAGGTGTCCATCTTTGCCGCCTACATTAAAGCTGCAGCGCTGGGGCAGCTGAGGGGCTCAGTGCCTTCCCCATTGGACAGTGCATCTCCGCAGGCCTTCATCAGGGGACAGTGCAAGGACATTAGTGGCTCCCAGAAAGCCCTCACAGGCTCTCAGGTCAGGAAGCCTCATCTAGGAATAGAAACCTTTGGTGAAAGACTGTCCAGGCCTCAGAAAAAACTGGGCAAGATTTTCATATACAGATGCAGAAGTATTGAAAACTCAGTTGTTGGCGTGAGATGTAAATGCCAGTAGCAAAATCCACCTAAAGGCTGGAGAGAGGGACAGCCTGGAGCTGTGTCCTTTGGTCTTTGGTGGTCTGGCCTCTCAGTGTACCTCTCATAACACCTGTACAATATGAGAGTTCAGCTGCTCCCTGACCCCCGTGCACCCAGGGTTATAAACTCTTGAGGACAGTGCTGAGTGTGAGCTCCAATCTGGCCAAGAGTTAATACTGTAAAATCACATACGCTGGGTTCTTACTACATTCTTTTGTAGTAAGGTTTTCAAAGGACCCCCAGACAGTTTGCAAACATTTCCTCACTGCCCGCTCACTGCATTTAGAGGCTAAGTATTCAAAGTGAGCCCCAGTCTCTTTAACACCACCTAAAGGAGTTTTTCAGGGTCTGATGGCCTTTCACTAGCATCTTTCACACCCATTTCCTGACCCTGGACTCTACTGAGCTCCTTAAAATTCCCTCACTTCTATGACAAGTGTCTCCCTTTCACCCACCTGCTGGTTGCTCAACCAAGGGTCATCTCCTCCATGAACTCATTCCTTTCACTGAGTCGTCAGATACATGGCTGCCAGGTGCTACACTCACAGGCATGTCTTCATACTGACTCTCTTCTCTCTGTCCCCCACAAACAGCCCTCTGGACATGTTTAATTATAGCATCTGTCGCCAGGTAGCACAGTTAGTTGTGGACACACCTTTCTCCAGTACTAGATTGGAAAAGGATGTCATAATCTTGGCTATTGTAACCCTGGAATGCTACCTAGCCCAGAGGTAAAAGCCAACCATGTCTGTTCAGTGGCCAACTAAGTTCCTGACCTGTGAGCATATGTTTGCGCCTGGTGGATGACATGGAGTATTAGCCCAGGGGACAGAGAGGGGACTGGACTGCCTCTGTGGCTCTGGACAACTGACTTGTTGCTGCACACATGAGTTCCTTCATCTTTAAGCTGGAGATAATTACAGTCGCTAGTTATCAGACTGTTAAGATTCGGTGTATGTCAAGTATTTAGCACAGAGCCTGGCACCTACAAAGTACCCAGTAACTGTAAGCCACTATAATTAGGAAGGAAGAAGAACAAGAGAAGCTTTCTTAAGAAATACCTGTACCTATAACATCATCCTTCTACTTGAAAAGCAAACAAACTCTGAATGTATCTGAGGTCCAATTTCCGCACAGGACCTGCCACTGAGATAGGATTTGGATCTTGAGGCTTGTGGTTCAAAAGCTCCGGGCGTATTTTTCCCTCCTGTGTGTTTACTGAACTCCCTTTTGCTGGGACCAGTCTTGAAAAGCTGGCCTGAGGAGAAAGAGGCAGACATGAGGGCCTGGACAGACTATGGGAAGCCCCGCTGGCCAGTATGGTGCTTCAGTAGCAGAGGACTTTGATGGGAGAGCCCTCCTGAACCCCATGGCGGCCCAGATGAGAACAGAGGCCTTTTCAGCTGTCGGGCTCCATCTCCACAGCAGGCAAGCCATTACTCAGAAGCTTCCCACATCAAGCTACTCCTTTCCTTGGAGGCTTGTTGGCACATCCTAGCCTGACCTCTGCCAGCCAGGCACCTTGTTAATTACCAGTGACCTTGTTCTCTGAGCTCTAGGCTTCCTTACCCCTTTAGCCCTTGGGCTTTAAACACTTATTTGATTGACAGGGTAGAAGCAAAAAAAAAAAAAAATTAAAACCTGGGGCTCAGCTCCAATATAAAATCCTAAACTACCCTTGGCACCTTGGAAGCATGCGGCCTAATTTTAGTCACTAAAGTGCTTAATTTCACACATTTCTTTTTTCATTAAGCATTTCTACAGCTCAACCTCCTGGGCCCATGTTACTTTTACTTGTGGCCTTGAAATAATTTAAATTAGGTTGGGTGAGTTAATATTTAAATCAGCAAACATTTGAGCATGGAGGAAGTGATTTGCAATGCCCAATGAGGTGCTACTCTACCCATCAGAAAAGACAGTTTTTTTGTAAATAATTTGCATTACAGATCACAGAGTTTTTAGTGCTTGAAGTTATTCCAAAACCGCAATGCTTCATTCTACATGTATAAACTCTGAGCTCCACATCAAATCTAGGGACTGACCCAAAGTCACATGGCCAGCAAGTGGCCAAGCTAGAACTTGAACCTAGGGTTTGGGGAATAAAAGCTCATGATCCTAAGTGAAAGCCAATGGTCCACCCAAAGCCTAGCTTAAAGCAATTCCACTAAAACATTAGGAGTTTTGATCTAAGAGAAAAGGATAGCAACAAACATTTTTTTCTAGCCTGTAATGGTTTCTCTAATAACACCTCCAAAACATCTATTTGCATAGGAACAGATGAAAGTATATTTCGGTGTTAAGAAAATTATGAGTTTGCCGTATTATCACACAAATTTTGATAGGGTACAGTTGAGAAGTAGTTTTGTTAGGGGAAATAAAAAAAGCATGAGATGGGGGGGAAGTCTTGTGAATATATCCACAGTGGCTTTGCCTATTTCCCATCATGGAAACTCCAATTTGATGCTCTGCAAACAAAGCCATGACTCTTCTTTAAATAACTGCTCTCAAATTGCTTTGGCCTTGGAAAGACATTTCCATTCCTTTTATTTGATGGGCCATTTTCAACAGAAATGGGAAATGCTGATCAAAACCGTTCCTGGGAAGAGTCCCAGAAGAGAGGATAACAAGAAACCAGCTCATCACTCTCAGGTGCCCAGAGGTGAGCCTGTGCCCAAGTTGGCCAAACTCTGGCTATAGCAATGACCCCATCCTTGCCTGCCTGCTCTCAGTTTCATCACTGACTCCAAGCCTTTTCCAGCAAGGGGATCCTCATAAACTACTGTATTGCAACATGTGCATAGGTTAGTGTGTTTAGGCTTGAGGCTTAGGGAAAAGGAAGTAAGTAATGAAGCAAATAGATGGCAACTGGAACTGTCTGGGGGCCTACTGGAGACATATTGGGCCTTCTTCTACACTGAAGTATACAAGGTATAGAGAAGATCACAAGATTTCAAGGTCTAGCTCTAGAGTCTGGGCCTTTTCTTGGGGGCTATATAAGGAATATATTGCAGATCTCTGAAGAGGGAAGTGAATGGGATATGACTCATACTTCATGAGGTAAGAAAATGAAAAGGGCAGGATGAGTCTGAGAGCCATAAGATGAGGTCCCCTGGCGACAGCTGAAGAAGTTAGGGGTGCAAAGGGGAGTCCTGTGCAGTGGAGTCCTGAGCAAAATGAAGGTAGGAGGGGCAGGAAGGCTAGGTTCAGGGGTGTGGTATTCCTAGCACTTGCAGAACTTTCAGTGACTTTACTCTCTCTACAAAGCAAAAGCTTTGAAGCTCTTGGGTTGTGTGGGGAAGGGTGAGGGAACATAACAGTTATATATTCACCTGTGAAGGGCAAAAGCAAGATGGCTTCGGTGTAAGCATCTCAGTTCTAGTAGAATAGACACCAAGATATTAGCCCACGCTTGGAAGAGACACTAGTATCATTTTGTTTATATACTTCCACGTTAATACTTAACAATGAGGACATGCCTTTAAAACCCAGGACATTACTTTAAGAAAGACAAAAAAAAATAAATCTAGCTGGGCACTGATATTCATGCTGGTAATCGCAGCTACTCAGGAGGCTGAGACCTGGAAGATCACAATTCGAAGGCAGCGAAGGCAGTAAAGTCCCTGAGACTCCCATCTCCAATGGACCAGCAAAAACCAAAAACCAAAAAACCCCAGGTCAAGAACATCTAGTAACCGCAAAACTAAAGCTCACTGGGGGGGGGGGGGGGGGGCACTGAAAAAATGGAGGGGAAGAAAACAGGAAAATTAGAGGAGCTTTCTCCAGAAATTCCTGGGGTCTCTGTTACATGAAGTATATTTAATTTATAACCTGAATGGTTCCTTGAGACTTCTCAGTTCCAAAACTTAAAATGCCAGAAACCATGCTTTCCCCAAAAAAATCAACCAAAGGATGATGGCTGTCTGCTCACTTCCAGAGGGTGAAAATCAGGGGGAAAAGGGGAGAGTGGGGTGGGAAGGGGGGGAGTGTGAGGTATTCCTGGGTCTCAATCTCTGTGCCATTTTGACCTCAAGTGGTCAAAAAATGCTGCCAAGGGGGCCGGAGACTGGGTGGCTCCCACCTCTAATCCTAATCAGGAGGCTGAGATCTAAGGATCGTGGTTCAAAACCAGCCCAGGCAAGGGAAGTCCCGCCAGTCAATCACAAAAAACTGTTCAGGGGAGCTGTGGCTCCAGTGGTAGAGCACCAGCCTGGTGCAAGAAAGCTCAGCGCCCAGGCCCTGAGTTCAAGTCCCGCCCCACCCCACCCCCACCCCCAAAAAGCAAAACCTATCCGGCCAGGGTGACTGAACACGGGGCCTGTTCCCCTCCCCCCTCCCCCTCCCCCTCCCCCTCCCCTCCCCCCCTCCCCTCCCCCCTCCCCTCCCCCTCCCCTCCTCCTCCCCCCCCCTTCCCCCCCCCCCCCCCCCCCCCGCCTCCGTCCCTCCCGCAGGAATGATCTGGTCTGAGTGCAAGGAGATCTGGGCGGAGGGCCCGCGGGAGTACGCGCTGCACCTGTGGAACCTTCTGGACTTCGGCATGCTGTCCGTCTTCGTGGCGTCCTTCACGGCGCGCTTCATGGCCTTCCTCAAAGCCAGCGAGGCCCAGCTGTACGTGGACCGGCACGTGCCGCACGCCACGCTGCGCAACGCCTCGCTTCCGCCGGAAGTGGCCTACTTCACCTACGGTGAGTCCAATGCGCTCCCGCGCATGCGCCTGGCCTGTGCGGAGGCAGTTTGGCTTACCTCGCTTCCGCCGGAAGTGGCGGCCTGCTTCACCGACGGTGCGTCGGGCGCAGAGCGTGCCTTGCCTGTGCCGAGTCACACAGCGTGGCACTTCCGCCGGAAGTGCTCTACTTGGGGCTGGGAGCACCGCGCTGTGCCTTGCCTAGGCTGAGCCGCAGCTCATGCACTTCCGCCGGAAGTGACTTACTTCACCCGTGGTGAGTGTCACGCCGGGTGCTGCCCCGGGGGATCTAGGGGAGTCTGGCCCGGCTGGGCCCAGGGCCTGGCTGGGCCCAGGGCCTGGCTGGGCCCAGGGCCTGGCTGGGCCCAGGGCCTGGCTGGGCCCAGGGCCTGGCTGGGCCCAGGGCCTGGCTGGGCCCAGGGCCTGCGTCCCCCTGGCTGGAGCAGAACATGGCGGTTCGAAGCCCATCCCTGGCAAGGAAGTGCAGTGATCTCCAGTTAACCACCGAGAAGCCAAGGTGGGCGCTGTGGCCCAAACATCAGAGTGCTGTCCTTGAGTGACAAGCTTAGGGACCGTTCAGAGCCGCGAGTTCAAGTCCCTGCCCTGACACACAAACCTTCCTGTGTTAGCAATGGAGGAGCTGTTCCAGGGTTTTGTTTTAGAAAGATTCTGCATTTCCGTAGGGTTTTCTTTTGCTTTTTTTTTTTTTAAAGAGCTCTTTCCTTACTAAAGGAATATCAACACCAAAAGAAATGCTTTTCTTCCTTTAGGAGTATCGGATCCCCCCTCTTGTTTTGTACAAAGAGAAGGCCTGCTTTTATGATCCTGAATTCTCTTCTTGTGGGGAGATAGGTTCTTAAGAGAGAATCCTTCAGTCGTTCAGATCACAAGACTACCATTTCAGGTAGTAAAATTGAGGTTTGGGGAATAGTTTAAAAAAAGAAGTTATAGCCGCCTGTTACTGAGAACTTACACAGTTCCAGCAACAGCGCAGCCATCTTATACACATAAATTCCGATTCTCGCAATAGCCTGCAAAATTGGTCGTTTCTGTTTCTATTTTATAGCTGCAGAATCTGGTTTTTCATGGCAGGGAATTCCAGTATTATCAGAAATACAAAATTGCTTTCTGTAGCAGAGCACCCTAGCCTGAACTGAACTGAAAACCATGCTAAATAGCTTGGTGGTTAAGTTCTCAGGTCTTAGAAAAAGACCCGGATTCAAATCCTAATCTGGTAGCTAATACCTTGTTTGTTTAACCTTTTGGAAGCACCATTTTCTCCTGTGTAACACAGGGATAATATGCTAAAAAGGTTTGTTTAAACTAACAAGTAAAAGTGATTTGTTTTATACCCTGAAAATATTAAGTGATGATTAAATTATAATAATTATTAACAGTACTGCAGTTCTTCTTGCTGTAAAAAAATAAAGATGAGAGAGCAAAGGAAAAAAAGTAGCAGGATGCTGGTGGCTCACACCTGTAATCCTAGCTACTCAGGCTGAGATCTGAGAATCGTGGTTCAAAGCCAGCCTGGGAAGGAAAGTCCATGAGACTCTTATCTCCAATAAACCACTTGAAAACCGGAAGTGGCCCTGTGGCGGAAGTGGTAGAGTGCTTGCCTTGAGCTGAAAAGCTCAAGGACAGTGCCCAAGCCCAGAGTTCAAGTCCCATGACCAACAAAAAAAAAAAGAGGCTGAGATATAGGGATCACAGTTCAAAGCCAGCCCAGGCAGGAATGTCTGAGACTATTATCTGCAGTTAACCACTAGAAAACCAGAAGTAGTGCTGTGGCTCAAAGTGGGAGAGCCCTAGCCTTGAGTAAAAATTGCTCAAGGGCAGTGCCACAGTGCCTGAGTTCAAGCCCAAAGACTCACAAAAAAAAAAAAAGGAGTTGGGTGCATAGTATGTATTCATTAACAGCAAGTACTATGACCTGAAGGGTTTGGATGTCAAATGTCCCTGTCAGATGAAACCAGATGGATCTTGTAACTTCAGAATCTTTTGGTCAAGTAAAGCAATAACTGTAGACAATCGAGTATGAAATGCAAAAAGTTCAGTATCGATTGTGTTCTCTGTAAATTCGGGCAACCCCTCTGCCTTGAGAAATGGAGAGACAGGCAGTATGGCAAGCCAGCTACTCCCCCTTCTCCTTACCAGGAGTTGGTTTAGCAATATCAGACTTTTCTTCAAGCAAATTGAGCTCCTGGCCCCACCCTTGTGCTACCCAGGCTACCACAAGCAAAGAGGAACAGCCCTGCTCTTAATGTCAAAATTGTCCACCTGTGACTTTGATTCCTTTATGAATTGTATTAAGTCTCTCTCTGCTCAAAGTATAGCATATTGTCCTTGCTTTTGTGGTTCACCCTTTGCCCTTGGAAATCTTTCAGAGTTCGATTTTTTTTTCTTCCCCCTCCTACGTGGTCCTGTTGTGGAGGGCGAGTGCCCTCTTGTGGGCAAACGTTGGTTCCTCCTAACTATAACAACCACTAGGCAAGAGGTGCAGTTTTTCTGCTGGAGAAAAGATGATGTTTCTGGTGAAAACAGCTCCAAGATGAAGTTGCTTTTGTCTCCATCACTTCCAGTGCCCTTATGAGGCAGCCCAAAAAGTATTTCCCACTTAAAGTCCTCACTTGGTCACCGGGATGGGACAAACAGCTCATCTATCAGGAGTAGATTATGGAAGTAGCTTTTCAGTATTCCAGCTGAGGTTGGAGATGATCGATGCAAGGTGGCAAATGTGTTATTCAAATGCATTATTTACCCATCCAGGGTGACAGATATATTAGAAAAGACATAATTTGTCCTCCTTACTTGTCTTTCCAGGGCTTCTGAGTTATGGCCTTGATGAGAACATAAAATCCACAATGTTGTTATAGTTCCAAATGTGATTTTGAATGCCCCACCTGAAATTCTGTGGTCTGGCTTTTCTTACTAAAGGGTTTCTTGCTGGTCTTTAATTATTAAACAAAGTCCAGATTTGCAGATAACAAATAAATTCCTTCCTACCCCCATCTCCTTTGGAGGTGCCAAGAATTGCTATATAATAACTTTTTCTATTTGCACTTACTGAGCTCTGAAAAGGACCCCATACCCCAAATCCAATCCTTAAAATGGCAATAATAATATCTACTCTACAGGGCTGTTGTGAAAATTACAGCTAATGTAAGGGTAAGGGCTAATTTAGGTTTCTCAGTGTTTCTCAATTTAAGTTTCACTTAGCATTTCTCAACAGGGACACTATTGGCTTTTTTTTTTCTCCAGCAGGGTAATTTTCATGAAACAGGGAGCATTGCAGGACATCAAGCATCCCTCCTCCCCCCAAGACTAACCACAGACAGCCCCCCAACACACACTTTTCCCAGAAAGGAGGTACTGCCCTCATTGAAGACTCTGTGTCCTGGCACATAGCAGGTAGCTGATGGGTGGTGAGCAGAGCCTCATGCTCTGCTTGGACAGCAAGGGGAACACTGTTCTGATGGCTGTAGGAATGACCTTGGCAGTCAGTCACTGGTCACCAGAAGCTGAGTTAGCCCAGCTTGGGATCAGACTCTTGTACCCCAGAACAGAGCTGTCCTGACAAACCTGTCTGACTGCTCACCGCTTGTGCAGCCTTGGCTCAATTGGAGAAGAGCAAAATTTCCCATCGCTCGCTTCCCGGGGAGCAAAACCTAATAGAGTTTTCTCGGTGATTCCTACCCCGCTAGGAGTTCATTTGTTCTGACTGGTGGTTTCAAAGTCGTGTTACCAGCATTGATCGGCACCTGCTGGGTGCAAGATTGGAATGATGTTAGCCATGACAGATGTGTCTCAGGGAACACAGATCCTGCCCAGCCCGTGGGAGTCATGGAAGACTTCCGGGAAGAGGAGATTCCTGAGCAGAGTCTTAAAGGAGATTGTGAGCTAGAAAGACCTTGCAAGGAGGGAAAGATGTTCCAGAGAGAAGAGTTAGACCATCCCAAGAGCTGTGTCTGGGTATTGGGATTATCCTAAGAAAAAGACCTTAACAAAAGATGTCTTCACTGCATCTTCTAGAACATGCTCTGACCCCAAGTGAGTAACCCAGCTTGTTTTCTTTCAGCCAGGGACAAGTGGTGGCCTTCAGACCCTCAGATCATATCAGAAGGGCTGTATGCCATCGCTGTGGTCCTGAGCTTCTCACGCATCGCCTACATCCTGCCAGCCAATGAGAGCTTTGGCCCTCTGCAGATCTCCCTGGGGAGAACTGTGAAAGACATCTTCAAGTTCATGGTCATCTTCATTATGGTGTTCGTGGCCTTCATGATTGGGATGTTCAACCTGTACTCTTACTATCGAGGTGCAAAGTACAACCCAGCGTTTACAACGTGAGTACCCCACCCCCCAGGGCTTGGCTCACTGCCCTCCTTACACACATACACACACACACACACAGATTCTCCAGGCTTCCTGGGAGTTTAGGGGAGTCTCTTGGAGGTAGCTTATTGTATAGCCTCTGGTTTCTTTGGTACTTCTCAACAGTAAAGGTATACTTTCTTCAAGGATGGCTTAGAGTTCGGGCTCTGGAGTTGGAAGAGCAAAGGGTGTGGGTTAAATCCTCATTTTGCCACTGGCATGCGAGGTGGTTGTGGGTGTGTTCTTTAGCTCCTTTGAGCCTTTATTTCCTCACCTTGAAAATGGGTCAACAAAAATGCTTGCTCACGGGGATATTGTGAAGATTCAGTGAGCCGGTATAAGTCACAGTAAAATGTTAATAAAAGGAAGGAATTATTGTTGGGAGTAGTAGCAGCAGTATCTTTTTACTGTTATTTTTTGTCTATCATTATTATTATTATTATTATTATTACTATGTTGCCTAGGAAACAGAACCCTGGGGAACATTTGCATTCCCATAACTCTGTTAGAGCCAGGAGATTTGCTACAAGGGAAGTAAGACTGGAAGGAAAGGCAAGGAAGCAAGGAAAAGGAGTTGCCAGGGGGCTCACAGGTAAAGTGAGAGAGGGGGAAAGCGTACATGCCCCAGCCACGTCCGTCAGATTACACAGCCTGGGCCTGGCAGACCTCCCCAGAGAGACTGCACAGCACATCCCATCCCAGGAGTGAAACGGAGAGTTCATCTGTCAGATCGTCCCCTCTGCTCTCGCCAGTGAGATTCATGGACTCGCCTACGTTTCCCAGGTGGGCCTGGGATGCCATTTCCAATACGATGGAAGCTGAGCCTGCACGGGGTACAGAGAGCAGCTGTCAGCTCCTGGCTGGGCTAAATGGATACAAGACTTCCCACCTCATTGGGAAATTCCTTCACGGATACATGGTCATTTATGCCTGAGCAGGGTGTTTGCAGGCTTAGTCCTTCCCCCGGCCCACCAATTCCAGAACTTCTCCGTGCCTTCAGCAGGCGCCTGCCATCCTCCTCAAAGGAGAACCAAGCACAGCTGGGACCAACAGGGCAAAGATTTCCTGGCATTTGTCCCCAGAAAGCCCTGGGTGGCCTGACATTTACATTTTCTGGCCATTAGAAATGGTTCTGGAAGTTAGGTGCCGGTGACACTCACCTGTAATCCTAGCTACTTGGGAGACTGTAGGATCCCAAGTTCAAGGCCACAGGGCGCAGAAGCATTTCACTGGACTCTGTGTTCTAAATAGCCAGCAAAAGTAGCACTAGAGGTGTGGCTTAAGTGGTAGAGCAACAGCCTAGCATGCATGAGGTCCTGAGATCAAACCCCTATATAAGGAAGGAAGGGAGGGAGGGAAAGAGGGAGAGGAAGAAGAGGAAAGGAGGATGGAAGGAGAAGAGGAGGAGAGAAGAAGGAAAGGAAGGAAGAGGGAGGGAGGGAAATGGCTCTGAGCAATGTCTACCTCGCAGCAGGCCCTTGCTCACCCAGCTTCTGGATTAATCATCACCAAAGGACAATACCGTAGTCTCAAAACGATGTCTGCCCAGCTCAGAACCGTGAAACACACTGCCTCTAGTCAGGATGCCCCATTGCTGCTGTACCTAGAGGCTGTTTGTGACTTTCTGTACAAAGCAGCAGCAGCCTTTCTTTCCCCAGAGAGTAAGTGCCAGATTCAGGGCGTTTGAAATGGTGCAAGCAGAGGTGTCGCTGGCAATACTGGCTTCGGGCAAGCATCCTGTCTCTCTTTTTCATGTGTGGTCTTAAACACAGGCTTAGGCTTCTGCAGTTGTAAGAGCAGAAGGTAGGCAGAGAGGGCTGATCTCACAGAATGTCTGTTATGATCCAGTTGGAGGAAATAGCATGCAATCCATGCCCGGCTCATCATAAACCTTCAGTAAGAGATGATCGCAGGGATAGCGGGAGATAAAACTACAAGCCAGGCTACCTGGGAACTGATTTAGTCCCAGAGGACCCTCTCTAGGCAGCGATGTTAGCTCACTGTCTGCCAGCTCGGGCTGAGCACATTATTAAACCAGTAGGAAGATCAGAATGAAACCCCTGGGCCCCCACGTGCTAGGCACCTGTGAAGAACTTCTATACATGAGGGGTCCTAGCACGGGGGAGTGGGGGGGGGGGGGCCCGGCCTGCCAGGACGGGGAAGCACACTGGAGAAAGAGCGAGGTGTTTTTGGCCTTGGCAGTTGCCCAGTTGGGCTGTGTAGCAGTAAACAGGAATTGGATTGAACAAGGAGAAGTCAATAGAGCAATGAAGCAGAAAGAGGAAAGAATGGATTTTTGTAAATGTCATCTTTTACCTTTTGACTGCTCCCTGAAGCATGCCACCCCCAAGAGATCTTCTCTAATAACAATATTTTTTTTTAAAGTCAAGTGGGAAGAAATGAGATTTGTACCTGGGGGAAGGAGGCTCTAGGCTGTGCTGAGTGCTCATGGTGAAGAGTCATCCACACTTCTCAGATGCAGCCAGCCACCCCCCCCCCTCCTCCCCACCCTCATAAGCACACAATGCCCCCTGTCTGTGGAAGGGGAAGACAGGGCTCCTCTGATCTATTTCTAAAGGACTCAAGATTCCATCCTCGCCTGGTGCTGGTAGCTCACTTCTGTAATCAGAGCTATTCAGGAGGCTGAGATCTGAGGATCGCATCTGTAAGATTCATATATCCAATTAACACCAGAAAACTGGAAGTGGAGCTGTAACTCAAAGTGGTAGAGTACTAGCCTTGAGCAAAAAAGCTCAAGGATAGCAACTAGGCCCTGAGTTCAAGCCCCATGACTGACAAAAAGAAAAAAAGAAAAAGAAAGAGAGGGGAGGGAGGGAGAGAAGGAAGGACTCCATCGATGGGAGAGAAATTTGGGTTGGAATACATTGTAGGAATCACCTCACCTCCATTTTGAAAACCAAACTCTCAAATCGACTCCTGCCTTATTACAAGGAAATCAGATTGAGGAGCCCAGAAGGAGTTTTCTTACAAAAGCCCTGCCCACCCTGGCATGGATTTCCAGGCCAGTTCACAAAAGCCAGCCCCACAGGATTCCCACAAAGTGAGAGCTCCAGCCTGTAGCAGAAAAGCACGGCACACATGGAGACAAAGGAAAAGCAAAGGAGAATCGATCTCTGTCGGCTTCAGCACCAAATCCTCCATCAATCCTGCCCTCATCCCCCAGGGCGATTCAGTTCCCATTTCCTCCATCCAGCAGACCTCATGGAAGGGCCAAGAAGAAAATGAACAGGTTAAACTCATCCCATGAGAACAGTGGTCTCAAACAAGACCAGAATCACTTGGGAGAGCAGTGAAATTTCAGGATTCCCGGACTCCACCTCTGAACATCTAATTACGGTAGTTCCAGGATAAGGCCCGGAAAACTGCATTAACAAAACTGTTGTGAGAGTCTCATGGAGTTAGCGATAGAACCACAGGATCAGATATATCCATCTGACCCTGACACTGGTGGCTACCAAGGAGGCTGAGATGTGAGGATCAAGGTTCAAAGCCAGCCTGGGCAGAAATATCCATGAGACGCTTATCTCCAATTAACCAGCAAAGAAAGCCAGAAAGTGGAGATGTGGCTCAAATAGTAGCGCACTAACCTTGAGTGAAAATGCCAAGCAGAACATGAAGTGGTGAGTTCAAGACCCAGGACAGCACAGAAAAAAAAGGAAGAAATAAAATGGATCTGATGCAAACTCCTCACGACACCGATGACGTGGAAGACACATACATTGCAGAAGCACGTGAACCGGTGTCAGACCATGCGGGCTGGTTATTTTAGCACGGGCCTTTAAATAAGCAGCCAGGTGCCACAAGAATGAGCCCCTAAGTCATAGCCTAGTTTCTGAGCAATTCCCAGTCTCCGAGCCCCTTTCCACTTTGGAGCCAAGGAGTCTGTCCGAGGTGGTTTGTCACCAGCACTCTGTGACAGGAGCTGGCCCAAAGAGGAGGAGCAGGGACGAGCACAGGCCCCTGCTGGGTGCGTCTGGACAAGACAGACAGCACACCTGCTGGCAGCTCGTTATCTCCAAGCCACTTCCCGGAGAAGCTCCAGATGGCCAGAGGGAAAGAAGGTTTGTCTGACCCATTGTACGCTCAGAGTACAAAATCAAAGAATTCTAACACATGGATGAAGGAGGGAGAGAAATCCCACATGACTACCCATCTTCTTTATGAAAGCCTTTAAGAAAAGTTCTCAGTTCAGACTGTTAGGAAATTTGTTCTCATTGGGAACATACATGTATATGTATATGTATGTATGTGTCGTATGTATCGGAACCTATTTGTATATGTATATACATGTATACATATTTCTACAAAGATACTTATATATGTATGTAAATTCGCATATATTTATGCATCTATACAAATATACGTATACATATATATGAATATATGTGTGCATATATGTATATATACATATGTAATACAGCTATGTGTGTGTATATATAATGTGTGTATGGCCTCCCCACTTACCTCCAATTGGAGATTAAATACGGGCTCTGTTGCTCACAAGATAACCCCAGCTAACCTTTCCTTATAGGCTGCGGTGGGTGGAGGCAGCTTCATAGCATAGCTGTGTTGACACTTTTCTAATCAAATATATTACCTCTGTTAAGACCTATCTCACCAGGAATGATTTTAATAGAAGGAGCTTCAGCAGTGCTAGGCCAAATTAGAAGCTTCTGTTTTCCACAACAGTTCATGGAAATTTTCCACACTCCATAAGGGAGGGATTCATATGCTCCCAGAGATGCTGACTCAGCCCCACACTGCTTGTCTGCCTCTCCTTCCCACAATCCTGGAGGACCACTGGTTCTGAACACACACACACACACACACACACACACACACACACACACACACACACACACACACACACACACACACACACACACACACACACACACACACACACACACACACACACACACACACACACACACACACACACCCCTACACC